AACAGTGAGATAAAGAAAGCCAAACGAAACGCATGGATCTGCTTCACGGAGTCTATAGAAAATGTCAATGACTATCGATCAACGTAGGATTGTAAGAATTCCCAAAACCAAGATCGCCATACTGCAGAATGCATTGACGTTAATACTACCGATTTTGGAGGTGATATTTAAGGCGTGATTGCGTGTATCGCACATTCTAGTACTGTGGAGAGCACTACTAAAATCTCTACTTCTCGGTGAGTGGATCGATTTTATGCTCAGTAGCAGAATCATTAATTCACGCTTAGAGGAGTGCGCCGTCAGGAGATGGGTTAATAAAGGTACACCGCACAGAGGTGTTGAATCATCACTAGTCTGTTTTTTTTTTTTTTTTTTTTGATAAATGGTATATAAAAAGATCTGGAACTTAACTAAAGTCCTGACTCAGACGGTGTAGTTCTGCTGATTACAAACTATAGATCTAATGCAAGGGTCTATTGATAAACTATCAAGATGGTGACGCGGTAATGGTCTATGCTAAAACAGAGCTCATTCTCATGCAAGAACTTTATAAGAAAGAGCTAGGAGCTTAAACCGCATATTATCAAATAGACTATGAGTTAACTTATGAAGCACTCGTTTGTTGGCACTCGCTAGGGAAGACACCTTCAAAAGACAAATAAACTGATTGAAAAAAAAACAACAATAATTTTTTTGTTTCGAACGTTATTAAGGACAATAAAGTGCAAGAGTGAAGTAGAGCTGTGCACTGCACTAAAATGAGTTGGGAGCATACTGCAGGAATCCCTTACCTTAACCGAAGAAACGAGAAGATATCATTATTAAAGGCACCCATAATAATGACATCAGAATACCGATCCACCAAATAACTAATATCACGCTCAAAAGCCTTACAATTTAAATTCGGAAGATACACCACACCAAGAAGTATCTTCCGTCTACCCAACAGCAATTCCACAAATAAACGTTCAGCACTCCCATACTGACTGCTTTGAAACACTACTTTATACTTAATTGCCCTCAAAACAAATAAAGCCACACCACCATCTCTCTGAATAGGCCGATCAGTTTGACAATATCTATAGTCCGATACCACTACCCCTACCCCTATCACGTGTAAAAGACTGTTTTCTCAAATATTATGAGATTAAAACTGCGGCAAGTGGCCAACATTCAAATTATCACTTAGTGCACTCAAAGATGAACGTAGCAAAACAATTTACCATAAATTACTAGAAATCATAAAGCCGTATCTTGAAAAAGATATGTATGATATATTAAATGAAACATACATAGGTCATTGGTGTCCTACCATAACAACATACGAAATTTTCAAAATAATTGAAAATGGCATATGTATGTTTGTAAAATTAGTAAATATACTATATTTAAAGAGTCGTTGATGAACCAGCAAGATTGACTTCCCCATCAAGCTGCCGAGAAACAGAAGAGGGGTTCGACCTACATACTCTGACTTTCATCACAGTCAAAAAAAAAAAAACAAGTAAAAGAGCAGCTTGAAGCAAAGGTTTTAACAAAACCATTCGGGAGCGAATTTTGACTCTTGGCATGTCATTGTGAATTTCTATTCTGAATCTTCTTACTTTCTCGTTTCCTACGACATTTGAAAACAAGCTTGGCAGCCGGATAAGTAACACCCTATAGGCGATATGGTTATTGATCACATCATTCAAAGCAATATAGCCTACCTGGTGGTAATTTTACATAATTTCATCTCTCATGTGAACTGAGTTGAATTTCACAGGACTGCTTTTCCACCAAAAAATTTAACAAGAGTGCTGAATATCGTTTGGGTTAAGCTCCACATTACAAATTTTCGCAATCTTTATAACAGGTTCCTGCAGATTGCGTACAGCCTTCGGCAACCCACTTATTAAAATATCAACCCGATTCAAACTCCTTTGACGAGTAAGACTCTCACGCTCCATTTCCTACATTTTCTTTCTGATGCCACTTGTTTCATTTTGCATTCTTTCCACATTTGCTTGACAGACCAAAAAATTCGCACTAAGCCAGAGACAATTATTAACAAACTCCGACCGCACGTCACCGATCACCCTATGGACATATACATACATACATTGGTCAAATCGTTCATTAAGTTGTTGTCTTACTAATATAGCAAAATCATCCACACATTGTCTCATTTGCACATTATGAGCATCTTTCATTGACACTTGTTGCTTTTAAAACTATTTGTAGAGTCTTTTGGACATTCTGCCATTTTAAAGTATGTGGAGTATAGGAGGTCGGATTATAGCCAATGACTACATAACACATATGCTAAACTTCGAATCACTAGACATCCACATACCTAGCAGGGACATCTGGACCATGAACATACATTTTTTCAACTGTATAGCAGTCTATACCGATGGATCAAAGTGGAACGGGTGGGGGAATATCCGGAACTCCTTCAAGCTAAACAACGGCTGCGGCGTATTGCAGTCAGAAAAAACGTAGAGCTGATGGTAAATATAAATTATAAACTTAACGGACCGCTGACAATATATTTCGGTAGTCAAGCGGTTTTGAAAGTACTAAATTCAACTATCATTAGATCTTTGGCTGTTTTGGAATGCTCTGGAAAAAGTTAAATCATTCTTTAAGCTTTGTTGGGTCCCAGACCATTGCAACATCGCTGGTAATGAATCAGCAGATAAATTGGCAAGACGTGGATCCGAATCAATCGATTTTGAAATCAGAACTCGTTGAAGTCATCCTTGTGCCACTTCTTTCGAGGGGTACATAAACATTACTCTGTGAGATTTCAACAAAACTAGCTAAATGAAATATATGAACAATGTTCGCTTGTTTGTTCGGGATACCATAGTATTTTGTTGTTCCAAAATGGTCAGGCTTAATTCCTTTATTGTTGTTTTTATATAAACAACGTCTGTTTATTAGTGGAGAACGATGATAATTTTTAACAAGGGGTAAGGCAGGGAATACCTAGGTTTCGGAAAGAGCCACCAATCCTCATCAGTTCCCTTGTTTTTTTATCTGGGATATTCTCCCCAGAAGTTATTTTAAAAGTATCTTCTATGACAAAAAACATTTTTTTACCCAAGTGACGTGATCGTAAGCTCAATAGAAGAGGAACCAAAGAATTAAATAAAACTAAAATTCTTTTGGAAAATCTGCTAAATCTTACAACCGAACTTATAAACATTTACATCTTTCTTTCGGGCCACTGTTGGATTTGCAGACGGGTTTGGCTTATCCAAATAAGTGGTCTAGGAGCATTTTCGATGCTCTTTCCGAAAATGGACACCATAAAGGTGAATCCTTAACAATTTTCCCTCAATGGGCCCAAACTAATTTCTACTATGAGTGACCGTGTGAAATATCAGTCGGACCACTGTTGGACTTCCAGATGGGTTTGGTTTATCAAAATTTTTGGTCTAGGAGCATTTTTGATGTTATTTCCGAATATGGACATCACAAAGGAGCATCCTTGAACATTTTCTATTAGTTTGTTTCAGTTTGTAGGTATTTATGTGCGCAGTGTTTTGAATGTCAAAATTGATTTGATTTTATTATTATATAATTTTCATTATTGTAACTTTTATTTTATTTAAACTAAAATGTAGTTAAATTTAAATTTAACTCTGAGAGAAAACCAGTGTTAATAAACGAAAAATCAAAGTAGTGCAATTTAAACTTATTATCACGCACATCTATATCTGGTACTACACGAACATGTCAACATTTTACAATAATTATCACATATGTGATATAAAGTGAAGGAAGTGTTCGACATAGTCCAAATCTATATCAGACTTAGGTCATACATTAAATGAACAATATTGGACCAATCCTTCGGTACTTTCCCAAAATGGCTCAACAGTTTGAAAATTCAGAGCTCATGTTAAAGTATATTTAAATAAATGGTAATTGCCTGAGGGCATATATCTATATATTTATATTTGCTCGGATCAAGGTGTATATGGAAGTAGGTTTACTTACAAATCTTTATGCGAATTGCACCGGATAATCGACCAATCACAATAAATTTTACAATGGAAAGCGTATGATAAACAAAAATTAAAAAGCTTATAAAATCGGTAATTAACGATACTTTTCGGCAAGTCAAATTTAACACACATCATTTGGTTAATCTATCATTTTCGAATTTAATGTTCCTGATATTTGTCGGGAAAAAAATTAGTTAGTGAATCCCACTACTGGTCGCAAAGTTGGAGGTCAGAATACGTAACAACGGTTATTTTACAATTTGTTTGCTTTAATTGAAGAAAAGGTCAGATTTTTCATTTCTTCATCTGAACTTAAGCAAATGACCGAGGGAAATCATTAAATCACATAGAAACATTTCCATTAATTTTTGCTGTGATGCAATGTAGCTTAGGGTATTATAATAACAATAATTATGTGTGCAAGAACCTTCAAGGTTTGGTGTTTTAAAATTTTCCCTTTAGTCAAAAAACGGCACATCACTACTTTTCCCACTATTGCCATAAAAGTAAGGTAACAAACAATTTGTTGATAAAATAATTAGGTAAACTATTACGTACATTTATTCCATCATTGCATTGCAGGTGCGCCTAATACCTTCCTAAGTTGATTGATATTGTCAATATTGCCACATTTGGCTGTTTTTGGAGTACGCAATTGAATAAGGGCGTGGTTAGTCCTTCCTTAAAAAAGGCAATCGCAATTACAACTGTAAGACAAATTTTCGATCAGAACATTCTGTTTCGAATTTTTATGAGACATTTAACTCCCGACAAATGTGACCAGCTGATTCCTTTAATGAAACTACATATGACGCAAAGTAATACCGTTGCAGCAATTGGATTAATGTGAAATTATATGGGCGTGTCAAGTCGTAGGAAAACAACATGCTTTAGTATGCAATAAAAGCAATTATGCTAATCTTCAAGCACGAACAAATGAAAACATGAAACAAAGATTTTAACACTAATTTATCTTATCAGTCGGACTTTTATAATAATTACCTTTCCACGGAATATCGAATAAGCATGATAACTCCGGCCAAAGGCAGTGGCCAAAGAAGATCCTTATAATTGGCGTGCTGGACATCGGAGCGAGAGCCGGGAGCAATGTCGGACCATGTTACATTTGGTGGAAGCCACACATTAGGTGACCAAAACGAATCACTAATCTTTTTAAATGTTTCCATAGTGCTGTTATATTTCTACACTTTACCTATCGCAAACACGTCTATTGAATTATATCTATCATCACTTATTCCACAACACAATAATTCGTGATTAGAATAACTTATGGGTGTATAATAGAGTTGAGAAGTGTCGAGTATTTGTTTCTTGGAGTAGTCGGTACACACAAACCAGTTGTAAAAAAATAGGTCGGTTCCAGTGCGGCCATTTTAGCATTTTTGCAGCTAAATTTAGCATTTATTTTTTGTATTTAGCAGCAAAAGTTTCATCTGGCATTTAGCATTTTTCTTAGCTTTTTGAAATTATTAGTTTAGCATTTTTTAGCATTGTCTTTGTCCAAAAATTTTCTTATATTTTAGTAATTCTGATCTTCAAAAACATGTCATCTCTAAAAAATGTCATGGTTTGGACCTAGGTAATGCATATTCTTATAGAATTTGCCCTATATTAAAGCTTAAGAAAAGAGAGTCATGCTAATGGTTATTCAGAACAATATTTGTAAATTAAGGTTTCTCTATATGAATTGTTGTATGCCATTCGTGTATTTCTTAATTCGTCTGGAATTCACTTTCAGAATTTCGGTGGAATAGACATTTTGGTATTTTTTCATACAAAAATTGGGGCCAATTTTATCCGCTAACTGTTATCCGATGGCCATCAAATATGCTTGGTAGGAACGATACCGAACACCCACTTGACGTGTCAGAAAACTTTCAATTTTTGTCCATTTGTACCCCTGAATATTTTGCGATCATCTCCAAAAACATCTGGCTTCTATTCTGACACTAACCCCACCTCCATCCAACATTTGGTGAGGATCGGGCCATAAATGTGCCCTGTATATAATATCCTAAGGAGTAAAAATATAAAAAAATGTAAAATTCAATATTGTAAGTCAAAATGAAAATATCTCATGCGACAAAAATGTGACAAAATGGAAAAATTTAAGAAAATATCAAAAAATCAATATTCTCATCTTCATTGGGATATTTTCATGCGTTTTTGTCTAGATTTTTTCTTTCCTATGAAGAGGACATTCTAAATTGACAAGATTAGTTAAAATCAAAGGTCATGCTATCTAAAGGGAGCACTTGCTTTTCAGCCTGACACTCAAACAAAGCATGGTAACACACCCTGAATGTAATAGTTGCCTATATGTATATAATATGTTTTTATAGTTAATATTTTTATAGAGGGAAGGATGTTGCTCAATCGCATTACCTTTAGCTAACATGCTCTCTATTATTTCTGATATGCGTAAGTAAGAGCAGTGATGGGCTATTATGGTGGAGCATCAGACGACTCTCAGGTAAAGAGCCTGTCAGATGAACTCCTATTTATAAAAAATAAGCCATTATTTAAAATTTTGATTTGTAATTTAATTATTTATTATTAAGTAATTTCATTGAAATAATATATACATAATTCCGTTTTCTGTCGTTGTTTATATTTTCTACAATATTTTTTATTTCATTTGTCTCTATCCGTTAGGTAAATATCAAACGATCAAAATTGTTAACTTTCGAACGAATTTGTTATCTACATTCGAAATCTAAGGTGATCCATTTCCGAAAAGAGAGTATGGGCCGTTTTTATATGTTTTCAATCATTTGTAAATGCAGCTGATGGTCACTGTATATTTTTAACGGTGGCTTCCTCATTGTTTATTAAAAAATAAACAAATTAATTTGTAATTAATTTCGTGATATAAACCCTCAATTTAGTTCTTCAATATAAAATAAACTATTTGCTTTATCAAGTTTTTATATGAAATAATTGTGCTGGTATGCCATATTATCAATATAATAAAATATGGCAACATGAATTCCGTAAACTTTTTTTAAGATAGAGGAAAGATGGTCTAACCTTCTGCTTATCGGGTAGATCATATTTAATGAAACGTGTTATAACGAAAAAAGATTTATTTGTCCGACATCATTTTTTTCTCTATTAGAAAGAAGTAGTAACCGGTCTATGTGTATCCGATACTCTGATATGGCAACTTTAACTATAGAATCGCAGTATTTAACTATAGAATCGAGTTTCATAGAACAGTAAAAATAGGTTTACTGAATGCACAAGCTACCTCAATTGTTTAGGCAAAAGAGACCTTTTCATATATTATTAATTAAAAACATATATTTTGAATGTACTCGAATTGTTTTATATGCCATTAAGTGCAGTCAACACTATATTTTAAAACTACACTAATGTTTTAAAGTTTCTTTCACGTTCATTATTTTTATTTTTTGCACGCTTGGTATTGGCATTTTTCCCACCGTTCCTCGCTAGTTAGTACAACTTTTAAAGTAGTCAACAAGGTAGATGTACTAGGTAATCGCATCAGCCCAGCTGACGGCACCATTAAATGTCAAAACGAATTGTTGTAATGAAGAATTCGCCCTAAATGAATGCAACAACAAATTTGTTTATGTTGTCTTCCCTAAAAGTACCTTTTTATAATATTTCAAATAATTTAAGAGTAAGTTAAGAGTGAAACCAGTAAAAAATTAAAAGAACATGAAGGAAGGAGGTTAGAATGGAGTGCAGCTTTAAGAATTAAGTTAGCCTCAACATCTAAGATTCCCAAAGCACATCACGGGAAGTAGTGCAAGAATTAGACTCTTGTCATTTGCAGTTCCGGAAAACTTTCGGTTTAAACCAGTAAAATATAGTCATTATAAGTTTCTTTGTTTAAAAAAATCGCAATACTACAATTAATACTTATTTTACTCTTATTTGTTTTACAATAAAAACTTTTATTGCGACGTTCGTTTAGGACGAGAGGGACACAAAATAAAATGTAAACAAACACCTCGTTTCTGATTGGTTGAAACAAATTTGCCGCAACTTTTAAATGTCATGGCGAATCTATGTTTTTCGCCTTAGATGCCAATTTTGACATTTGAGGGGACCACAAAAGTTGCTTTGTTGTAGCAATTCGCCGATGCGGTTACCTGTTAGATCTACCTTGGTAGTCAAGTTGTGTGTTTCGGTCACAAACATGGCAGAAGATTTCAGAAAGCCGCTTCATCACATCTGGTGGTACAAAGAACTGTAAAAACATTTTTCGAAATCAAAATTTAGAATAAAAAATTCGTGAAAGGTCTGTTGTCTCCTCGCGAAAAAATGTACGATTAAGGTTCACAAATTGGTATAGCACCATGACGGTTGCACATACTTTATTGTAATTTGTAAACTATCACTGTATTCTACAATCGATGTCACCGGTAATTGCAGTTTAAAGTGGAACACTTTTGAAACCGGTTACTCTAAAACTTTAGTTTTTCAAACGTTTTTACCAAATAGAGTATTTAAAGTTCGCCCGCCTGAACTTAATGTTTTTTACTTGCTGATAACTCTATTATTTCGACTGAGTAAAGTAAATGTAAATTGCATTGCCAATTCACTTTCTTTTATTGATGTCGTCTATATCGTTTCAGGGGTTTGGGTGAGAATATTGAAGTAACTCTAAAATGGTAAAAATATTATAAACTATAGGATATTTGTCATTTAAAAATTGTTCTATAATGACATTGTTCTACGTGATGACATTGAAAAATACGGGAGTAATTTTTACAGCGACTGCGTTAATCAGCATGTTGACTATGCAAAACTTGCTGAGAGCCGCCTGGATAAAATGACAAAACTAACTTTTTGTTGTCTATATTTAGTCTATGTTCATCTTCTCCACTTTTTCAGAAAATATTGACATTTTTAATTTATTTTAATATTTTTGAAATATTCAACTCTATAGAAAAGATATGTCCAAAAAATGTTATTGATACAGACATTCGCAAAATTTATGCTTTTTTGTTTCTACAATTGTGCGCATATTTGACTCTATGGACAAGATACGTACCATGGTTTAGATAGATATTAAGATTTTTTTTCGTCTGAAAATTATACTTTTTATTCATGAATTTAATTTTTTTTATAAAAACAACAATAATGGGATTAAGGCTGACCATTGACAACACTGTTCTATTAATAGACAAGGCACGGTCGACGAAGGGGCTTTTGTTGTAAGAGACAAAACCAACTTACATGTTTATCAGGTATGTCACAAGAATGAATTCGTACTTAGCTTCTTCACTTTTTTATTGTTGCAAAATGGTCAATCTTAATCCCTTTATTGTTGTTTTTATAAAAAACAACGTTTGTTTATTAGTGGAGAACGATGGTAAGATTTACCATGGTGTAATGCAGGGATACCTAGGTTTCCCTTTTTTTGTCTAAGATATTCTCCCCAGAAGTTATTTTAAAAATAACTTCTATGACAAAAAACTTTTTTACCCAAGTGACAAGATCGTAAGCTCAATAGAAAAGGAACCAATGAATTAAATAATACTAAAATTCTTTTGGAAAATCTTCTAAATCTTACAACCGCACTTATAAACATTTTCATCATTCTCCACTTGTTATGCTTTCGTTTTACATGAACGAAATAGCATAACCATGGTCCAATTATAAGGTCTACCAGAAGGCGAATTCCACAAAAATACAACTCTGCCACCTACGTTTATTATCAAAATTTGGTCTCAGAGCGAAAAAGAAATAATTTCGCCTCGACACAAAAATATTACAGCGAATTTCTGACATCAATTGTGATAATAAATATTTTAAATATTGTTTTAATGTAAATAAAAGGAAATAATATCGTGGCTGGCTTATATGTATTGGATGGACTTATTATTTCTTTTAAAGTCGTCTAGATTTAGTGGAATCAATCAATAATATATTTCTGTTAATCTCTGGGGAATTTTGTTTGTCCTAAAGTTAGGGGCAAGAAAATTTTTGGCCATCTCTATCGCCCTCTATATGGAATATGCAACACATATAGGCAATGAAAGCTTATAGATTAACATGACATCTATATCAGAAGGCTGGGGCGTGGATTTATTAAAGGTGCTTGATCTAGGTTCTTGATGTAAAGGCTGACACGTGGACTTGGTTCCTGATTTACTACACAGGGACAACGTACAGTTTCCAATGTACATGGGAGAAAAAGTATCCACAACTGTCGTTCGCGTAGCTACACAGGCTTTCTAAAATAACGCCACAGAAAATAATAGAATTGGTAGGTGTTTTCAAAATATTATTTTCTCCTCCAATAAAACGAAAAAGCGGATGTTTCACGAATTATATCACAGCTGCACACATATTCTCAGTGATCTCCTTACGTATATGACTTAATTCCATCCAAGGTTGATTCTTTTCTAGCCACGTCTTGAGGATTCTTTTGCTTCAGTTGAGTGATTCTTGGCGAGATCTTAATTGTGTCTCCAGCATTTGTGTATTTTCGTGACTATACAAAAATCTGTAATAAATCTGTAATTTAAATTGCATAGTGTAAGCACTTAAGGGCTAAGTACATAAGAAGCTTGGAGTCATGGCTAGGCATGTTTTGTGACGTTTCATAAAGGGATTACAGGGCCGCACTAAAATCCTGCCGTCGTTTTCCATTATAATTTGACATTAATATGCCTAGCCATGACTTCAAGCACTTTATGTATTTGCAGCTTTAGATTACATACTGCGATCTCCACAGCAGCATGGAGGAAATTCAAAAAACCTTTTTTCTTTCATATTTTTAATTTTGTTTTTTGAATGTAAATTAAATTTCTTTATTAAGTAAAAAATATTTTTACAAATGAAACAAGTATTATTGACATCTCTTGCAGTTGTCAGGCGAATTGAAATTATGTTGACAGAAAATGCAGGTATCAGCTGGTCTTACTTGTCGACCTTATAATTGGACCATGAGCATAACCATGTAAGTTGATTTTGTCTGTTACAACAAAAACCCCTTCGTCGACCGTGCCTTGTCTATTAATAGAACAGTGTTGGCTTGTTTATTCGAGATACCATAGTATTTTGTTGTTGCAAAAAGGGTCAGACTTAATCCCTTCATTGTTGTTTTTATAAAACAAAATTTGTTTATTAGTGGAGAATAATGGTAATGTTTACCACTTTTGTTTTTGTAAGTGAAATTTTTATAAGTACTAAAAATGTTATCTTAATGACAAATATACAATATAATAAATATACAAAATAATTAGCAAATTTTAATGGTTTCAATTGACGAAGACAATTGTAAACAAAGTGTTGCCAAATCACTTTTTTCGTTAAACAAAAAAATATTATAATTAATTATACGAATAATAAACTGAAGCAAAGCGAAAAAACAAAACAAGAAGAATACACAAAAACATGTGAAACATGTATTGGGGAATGCTGTTTAATAATCATTAATTAATATTTTAGGAACACGCACAGGAATTCGGTCCGAATCATCTCTTAAATTCCTCGGGCGGATTTTTTCAGTACAATTTACAGAAACAATCGAAACTCTCAGCATTGCGTAAAAATAATGAAATGAACTTTCTTTTTGCACAAAAAACTTTCATTAACAGAATATTTTTCTCAAGTTACATTTTTACATTGTATTCTAATTATGTGTTTTGTTTTGATTCCTCATTTATTCGTTCCCTAATGTTACCATATTGAATATATAATATTTCCATATTTACACTGAATTCGTGGTTCACTAAATCGTACGAAATCTAAAAAGCTAAAATATAAAATGTACGATTTTGAATTGCGAAATTCAAACTATTTCGATACGATTTTGTGACATGCCTGTATGTTAATTCGTTCATGGAAAACGAAAGCATAAGTAAGATTTTCCAAAAGAATTTTAGTTTTATGTAATTCTTTGGTTCCTCTTCTTTTGAGCTTACGATCTTGTCACTTGGATAAAAATAGGAGTTATTTTTAAAATAACTCCTAGGGAGGATATCCCAGGGGGATATGGGGATTGGTGGCTCTTTCCGAAACCTAGGTATTCCCTGTCTTACCCCCTGGCAAGGTAGATCTAACAGGTAACCGCATCGGCGAATTGCTACAACAAAGCAACTTTTGTGGTCCCCTCAAATGTCAAAATTGGCATCTAAGGCGAAAAACATAGATTCGCCATGACATTTAAAAGTTGCGCAAATTTGTTTCAACCAATCAGAAACGAGGTGTTTGTTTACATTTTATTTTGTGTGCCTCTCGTCGTAAACGAACGTCGCAATAAAAGTTTTTATTGTAAAACAAATAAGAGTAAATTAAGTATTAATTGTAGTATTGCGATATTTTTTAAACCAAGAAACTTATAATGACTATATTTTACTGGTTTAAACCGAAAGTTTTCCGGAACTGCAAATGACAAGAGTAGAATTCTTGCACTACTTTCCGTGATGTGCTTTGGGAATCGTAGATATTGAGGCTAACTTAATTCTTAAAGCTGCACTCCATTCTAAACTCCTTCCTTCATTTTCTTTTAATTTTGTTACTGGTTTCACTCTTAACTTGCTCTTAAATTATTTGAAATATTATAAAAAGGTACTTTTAGGGAAGACAACATAAACAAATTTGTTGTTGCATTCATTTAGGGCGAATTCTTCATTACAACAATTTGTTTTGACATTTAATGGTGCCGTCAGCTGGGCTGATGCGATTACCTAGTACATCTACCTTGCCCCCTGGTAAACATTACCATTTTTCTCCACTAATAAACAACCGTTGTTTTTATAAAAAAACAACAATAAAATAATTAAGTCTGACCATTCAGCAACAACAAAATACTATGGTATCCCGAAAAAATGGCAACACTGTTCTATTTTCATTTTTACTAATTTTTTTTAATTCTATTACATTTTTCCATTTTGCACTGCATTAATTTTTTCGACAAATGCTCTCATCTGTTAGAGATGGAAAATATTTTATTTTTAACTCCAGAATGTTTTTTTTTTTTGTTTTCTAAAATAAGTAGATTTTTATAATTTTTCTTACACGACACCATGGCAGAAGAATACAGGTAGATGCATCAACGCTTGGGAGCATTGATATGTCAAAAAAATGTAAATGTTCTTTAAAATATAAGTAGATTTTAATATGTTTTCTTATACGACGTCATTCGGAGGTTATTATAATTCGGGGTTTTCAACAATTTTTGCAAATTTAAATAATTTTTCATTCAACATTTTCAATTCCAAAATTGGTTTGACAGTTCATTGTCCCAGCAGCTGTGTCAATGCGTCTACCTATATTCTTCTACCATGCACGACACCAAACGGAAGTTGTTATGATATACATATTTCAACTTCAAAATTGGTACGGCAGTTCATTGTCCCAGCAGCTGTGTCGATGTGACTATCTGTATTCTTCTACCATGTTGTCCACTTTATACATGCTCTGTTCCAGGGCCTCAATTCTTGTTCCAGGAAAATCTGAAATGAAACATTAAAAAATGAAGATATATAATTTTACATTTTCATAAATTAAGAATCCAACTCCAGGAATATAAATGCTCTGTTCCAGAACCTGCAAGAATCTACCAGTCATGCACACTTTTTTGTTCGATAAAATGAAAGTAAAAACATTTACATTCTTGCAGTTCTAGAACAGACCAAGAGCTTTTTACTACGACAAAAAACTATTTCTTTATGATTAAACTAGTAATTTCTTGCAGGTTCTGAAACAGACCATATATAAAAAGAATCGATTAATGTGTCCCTAATGCTAGGAACACAATTGGAGCGAACGACGAATTTTTTCGCGGCGTATGTTCGTCGTCAAAAATAAAACACATATGTGTATATGGAAGTGCACACAATCACGGCACCGGCGAAAATTTCGTCGGTCGCCGCGAACTCAATTAGCTTTATTTCTATTTCATACGCCGGCGACCGGCGAACAAAACAGTACAAGGTGGCCATACTTGTACGAATTTTATGTGTTATAGTAAATAAAGTTACTTTTTACTTTAAAATTTGTTATGGTCACTCTACTATCTGTTACTCGTATAAAAAAACATAATTAATTTGTTTATTTATTTGTGTACTTGCGCCTGAGTGAAGATGGATATCAGTGAATTTATAATAGAGAAGATGGACATAAGTGAAATTATAATAGAGAACGTAAAGAATTATGTGTTCTTGTATAATTCATTGTAGTCAACAAATGAGCAAAAAGTAAACGACTTCATCAGCTGTTTTATAATTTCGTCGGTATTGTGTTCCATACGACGAATTTTCGCGGCTCATTTTGTCGCCGCGTAGGGCGAAATTCGTCGTTCGCTCCAATTGTGTTCCTAGCATAACGTAGTCATTTTTATTGAGTCTAACAGTGTGGCAAGCCTTTTTGCCATCGAGTTTTGTTTGTTTTGAATATGCAGAATTTTCTGGGAGTGTGAAACGTAGTTCATATATTGTCTTTGTATTATTTATGTTTCAATGAGCAAGATTTAACAATGGACGCTGAAGTGCCGATATTATCCGGATATTTAAATGTGCCAACACAATCGGGATTTCCTCTACATAGAATTTCTAAAAAAGTAAGCAAATAATTGTGGAATATAATTACCTGTTAAGAGTGAGTAAACTGCGAAAACGTCAATTTACCAGAAATTGCAAAACTTGTATTTAACTTTACATTTTTCTATTGTGCATGACAAATTTTGTTGCTAAATAGTTGCTATTATTGTAATAAGTATGTTAAATTGTATGCAATAGGAGCAACCTATGGAAAAAGGTGTGTGGGCAATTCGACTTGTGTTTTCTAATATACTGATCATCGAACTAATGACAACCCAGAATATAACATATATGTAATAAAACTTATTTTATTCCCTAAGTGAGTTGCAGATTTTGGAACAACTCTAGTTTAGTAAAAACTCTTCGAATTTTTCGAAATTCAAGAGGTAGGTATTTTTACCCTGATTCCGGGAAACTATTTTTTTCTTGGAGGACGGACACGGGACCCCAGATTTTTGACCCGAAAATCCGGGTTCAAGACCCGGCCTGGACACGGACCCTATTACCCGATATAGGTAGCTTATAAAAATACCTATCCAACATGTGGTCACATGATGGGGTGAAGTGGTCAAGGTTCGGAAGTTATAGTCAAATTACCGATTTTTTGGACCAGGATTTTTATAAAACCCCCAAAAAGTCCAAAAAATGCTACAATTTGTGCTAATACATTTTTCGGGTCCAGAGATATGGGACTTTCAATCCGCACAACCCGATTCTAACTACTTTATTAAAATTATGTTTTTTAGTAAAAAAAGGTGTATTTCGCGTAGCTGTCGTTGGAATTACAAAAGTTTTCTAAATTTGACACTTTTTGTAAATAGCCGGCCTTCGGCAGGGGCTTGAGATTTTCTCCTCTGGATATGTCCCACACAGGCTAACGCGAACCAAAGTGTTCTAAATTGGATACCTTTTGTAAGTTACCGGCCTTCGGCCGGGGTTTAAGCCTTTCTTCTTTGGGTATGTCCCTCACCGGCTAACGCGAACCAAAGTTTTCTAAATTTGACACTCTTTGTAAATAGCCGGCCTTCGGCCGGGGCTTGAGATTTTCTCCTCTGGGTATGTCCCACACCGGCTAACGCAAACCAAACTTTTCTAAATTTGATACCATTTTTAAGTAGCCGGCCTTCGGCCGTGGCTTTAGATTTTCTCCTCTGTGTATGTCCTACACCGGCTAACGCGAACCAAATTTTTCTAAAATTGACACATTTGGTAAATAGCCGGCCTTCGGCCGGGGCTTGAGTTTTTCTCCTCTGTGTATGTCCAACACCGGCTAACGCGAAACAAAGTTTTCTAAATGTGGTGCTTTTGAAATCCAACAACGGCTGCGCGAATAAACCTTTTTTTATTGAAAACATAATATTAATGAACTGGTTAGAATGGGTCCAAAAAATCGATAATTTGACTATAACTTCCGAACCACATTTATTAAAAAAAATCAATACATAGAAAGCTTTGTAGCCTATTATACAGATATTATATTTTAAAACCAGATATTCGGATTTGTATCCAATTTTTGGGGTCAAATAGCCAAGTAGCCGGGTTTTCTATACGAATATTTTATTGATCCGAATAAAATCAACAAACTGCTTGAATTATCACCAACTTCAATAGGGTTCGTTCTTGGTCCAAACAAATGAATTGTGCTAAATTGTATCTTAATTGAGAATGGAATATGAAAACGCAGTAAATTCCTGTACAATAAGCTTATTTTATAAAATCTGGGGGCTTAACTCTAGTTTAGTAAAAACTCTTCAATTTTTTCGAAAAAATTTCCAGTGGTAGGTATTTTTACCCTGATCCCGGGAAACTATTTTTTTCTTGGGGGACGGACCCGGGACCCCAGATTTTTGACCCCAAAGTCCGACTTCAAGACCCCGACTAGACCGGGATCCAATTACCCCATATAGACAATATAATCGTTGGAAAGCTTATAATATACCTATCCAACAAGTGGTCAGATGCTGGGGTAAGTGGTCACGGTTCGGAAGTTGTAGTCAAATTACCTATTTTTTGGTCTCGGAATTTTGTATAAAACTGCAAAATTCGAAAAAATGCCCATTATGGGGGTCAACCAAATTGATGCCAAGTTATTGCTGACCCTCTTACCTTTCCAAAATGCTACAATTTCTGCTAATACCATTTCATTTCCAATGATACCTATATTGTCTACATCGGGTAATTGGATCCGGTGTCCCAGGTCCGTCCCCCAATAAAAACTAGATTCCCGAGATCAGGGTAAAAATACCTACCACTGGAAAAAATTGAAGAGTTTTTACTAAACTAGAGTTGTTCCAAATTTTCTGTACATTTATCTTGGTTTGCTGATTATAAAAAAGGTACATTCTACCCGGCGGTCCTAATCAGTTATGCGGGTTTTGAATCGAAAGTTCGGATAAAAACTGAAATGTAACCGGTTTTTGGATATGGGTATCAAATGAAAGCTTAAGAAAATACGTATCATGGGAAAACTAAAAATGTTAATAAGTTTTGCCTTTTAAGGCGAAGATCATATGTTTTATGATTTTAAGTGTTTTTTTCCTCTTTCGAGACGAGCTTAATGATCTGAAATTTGCAGTGAAAAGGAAAGCCAGATAGACACTATCACACACTCACCACTATGCGACGCGTTTCGCTGTTGGTTAAGCGACTCATCAGGCATATTTGATATGGATGATGGCTTACAAGGGCCGTTCTCTGGAAAGTAGTATATATTTCGAACTTATTGCAAATTAGCATATGCGAATTATACACTAGAAACTCTCCAGATTCGACTCTTACTTACTCTTACTACTACTTTCCAGAGAACGGCCCTTGTAAGCCATCATCCACATCAAATATGCCTGATGAGCCGCTTAACCAATGGCGAAACGCGTCGCATAGTGGTGAGTGTGTGATAGTGTCTATCTGGCTTTCCTTTTCACTGCAAATTTCAGATCATTAAGCTTGTCTCGAAAGAGAAAAAAAAACACTTAAAAATGTTAATGATTGAAGAGCATTCGGCCGTGATTAAAACCTTTCTCCTGAGGAATTTATATATAAATTCCGGATCCGTTGCCGAACTGTTTCTTAAAACTAAAAGTATTCCTAAGAAACCGCCCTTCATATATATAATATGTATCTAACCTTTATAGTTTTGTAGCACCGAAGATATTGACTTTGAAGTTGAACTCCGGCAACTTTCAAAAGTTGTAAAGTTTAGAAAAACTGTGGATCGCGTAGCCGGGAATCTCAATTTCACATATGATACCATTTTGGAAAGGCAAGAATATAGGCTATAATGTAGCATGTAGATCTTAGTATCCCATAATGGGCCCGTTTTCGAGATTTTAGGGGTTTTTTTTCAAAAAGTACTGGTATAAAAATACCAATTTTCTTGAATTACTCCGGAACCGGTTCCAATAACCCTTTTTTCGACCCAACCGACTAAGGGGGCGACGACCATCCCCGTTAGTAATTCCAGCTACAAAAAATAACTTCATTAGCCGGTTAAAACTACAATCATCTACATGAAATCTATTGATCATTTAAAAACAAAATTATATTCGATTTTATTGTATCTGTCATTTCTAAGGCACTCGTCTGACAGCTGTTAAAATTATTCCAGTGATAGCTCATTATATTGTGTACAAGCGTACAAAAGCATTTTGGTGAGAATTTTCCAGAAAAAAGTTATTCGTAAGGGAATTCAAGCGTGATAGAGTGATTTCTTTATATTTGGCTGGAAAACCACAAGTGGCTATAGGTAGAGCTCTCCAGCATTTAAATGTGAATAAATCTTTTGTGTCTTGTACCATCGCTCGTTACCGTAATACTGGTAGCGTAGCCCGACGTCAAGAAAGTGGACGGAAGAAAACAGCAACAATATTCCGCAATATTCCATTCGGCAAATATTGAAAAAAGAGCTCGGGGTAAAGCCTTTGAAATTTAAAAAAAGTGCAAGAACTTACACCGCAACAGAAAGAAAATAGACTCAAAAGAGCTAAAGAGTTGCTTCGCTTGGCCGAAAGTGGTGAACTGCCGAGTTTGGTTATCTCCGATAGGAAAAAAATTCGTTGTCCAGCAGTTTGTAAACAAACAAAATGATCGCGTTTGCTTGCCAAAGAGGTCAGCTGAAAATGTGCACTTTCGGTTGGCCACCAGAACTCAAGCGCCGTTCATTATGATGGTGTGGGCCGCCATAACAGCCGATGGTCGCACTCCGCTCGTATTAATCGACCGTGGCATCAGAATAAATGCCAAATATTATCGCGAAAATATTCTGGAGAGTGTATTACAGCCTTGGGCATGCAAAAATTTTGGCCGCAGACCTTGAATATTCCAACAGGACTCAGCACCATAGCACTCAGCACGCGCCAAAGTTTCGATCACCTCAAGCAAGCGCTTCGCCGGGAATAGACCTACATAGCGCATAGCAACATTCGGGCAGCATGCCAAAGGTTTTGAATTCGCCTTATAAATACAAAAACAAAATTGTGACGTTCTTGTCAAAATTTAAATTATTAAAAGAATTTGAAGACAAATCTATATAAAGCTTATATATATAAAAGAAAGTTGTGTTAGTTACTACGCTTATAACTCAAGAACCGCTGATATGATTTTAACGGTTCGGACAAATTCGGAATTGTCTTATGGCCGAAAAGGATCAAATCTAAAAAAATCGCGTAAATATGTCAAATTTTTGATAATTTTCAGTTTGGCTTTTGAAATGTACAATAGTAATGTTTTATTTTGCGTGATTTTTTTTCCATTTTGACTTACTATTTTCGTATGTACATTTGTGATGTTTTTTTTTTAATTCAAATATTGTCTTTTAAGGGTAATACAAAGCGACAACGAACAAAACTGTTATTTATAGATTTAATGTATTTACTGGGTAAGTGGAACTATAATATCGTTTCAGAAGGATAAGATAGGAACAAAACAAAATTTAGTATTTTATCGCGTACGTACGTTTTTTTTTTTTTTTTTTTCAATTTGATGAGCTTTATTGAATTGACTCGATTTTTTGAGAACAGAAATTCCAGGCGGATTACATTAAAGTGTAGTACCGAATTATGTGGTGGCGAGACTGAATAGAGGATGTCAAAATAATTGAACCCGGTCACACCAAAGTTAAATTACTTAATTACTTTGTTTTAAATCGCTAAATAAACACATTGCAACAATTCTAAAATCGGGAAAAAATCGAGAAAATTTTCTGTAAGAAAT